CATCTGGGTAATGAAAAGGGTTAAAATCTTGCCCAGGCTTTTGTAGATGGTTCTGTGACTTCTGCCAGAGCAGGAGCTGAAGCTGTCTGAGATAGAAAATTCCTCATGGCTGCTCTGGAGGGTGTGGTCACTGTCTCAGCCTGCCACAGGTCCAGAGCTTTTTTTGTTTTCTTTACTCGGCAGTCTCTGGTGAATTCTGTCACGGCAAAGACTGCAGCTTAGCCAGGAACCGGCCTGGCCCGGCCAGAGCCCGGGACAAGTCCCCCGCAGGCCCTCATCTCCCGGCCGGGAGCCGCGGCAGGCCCAGCCCAGCCCCTGCCCGGCCGCATGGCCTGGGCAGGGAACGGGAGGCCAGCCGGAGCTCTGTTACCTTTCACAGCCAGAAAACAAAGAGAACAAGAGAGCTCTGGCTTTACATCTTAAGGTAGAGTTCACAAGTTGATCTCCCTTTTCAATGGTCAAAACTGCTGTCAATTCTTAGAAATGACTGATAATTGGTCAGGAGAAAAGACTCCCATCAGTCACCAGCAACTTCAACTTCCTTAGCTCCCAAAACCACCTTAAAGGTAAAGTCACTCCATGACAGTAGCTAAAACCTAGGAAAGAAAAAATCCCATATAGTCACCCAGGTCCAAGCCAACACTGATGGATGCTGCACAGAACATACCGTCCCTGTCCTTTCTCAGCTGCTGGCGAGTACCCCCATAACACAGCATCAAATCCACCCCTTTTCCCACTCTCTCACACAGAAATCCAATGTCTCTCTGCCTGCTACATCCCAAAACCTTACTTGTACCAGAGTGAATATTAAAGTCAAGAAGGTGATTGCATTGTGTCAATGTGCCATGCTGCAGGTGTACAAAACAAACCAGGAGGTAATCAAGCAATCTGTCCAGATCCAGCCTTAAACTAAGGGGTCAGGGAATGGGATGGAAAACAAGGTCTAATGTGTATGTATGATGAAAGGTTGACAGTTATTTCATTGTGTGCATCAGTGTGAAAACCACAGTGACAATGATACTGGAATGTGTTTTTCGTCACCATGAATACTTCATGCCAGGTGGAGAGACCTTTTACATGCATGAGAAATCCTGTGCTTTGGGGGCTGCACAACTTAAAGAAGATGGGCCCTGAAACCACTAGCAAAAATCCTGTTCTCCCAGACAAGCTGTGGCAGAAAGAGATGAAGTTATTTTCATGTGAGACATGCCTGAAGCCAAACAGCAGAGGAGCACCTCTGCCAGCCTTACCTCACCTGTGCAGAGCTGCACCTGCTCAGGGATCTGCCCTGCTACTGCATGTTATGGCTCCTGGGCAGTTTTTTGAAACAAAACTCACATTTGACAGACATCCTCCTTTGCAACTGCAGAGTATCTCAGTGAACCCTGTAGCAGTAATTTTTATGGAAAATCTGGGATTGCACAGTAGTAACTGGGGCATGAGGGAACAACACAATGGCCCAAACAACACAATAGTTTTGAGGAGTCACCACTAAATGTATCTCTCTTGCTTTCTAGGCTTCTAACTTAGGAATTGTAGTACAGATAGACCTTGCCCAACCCCCTCACCCACTCTCCTAGGTGCAAGGAACTCCCTGTGAGCTTGTGCTTGACTTCTCCACAGTAGAGAAGTACCCTCTGCTCTGAAGATGATTCCCACAAGCTCCAAGTTGACAGAGATGATAAGAAACAAAGAATGCAGCTGTACACCCAGGGGAACCAGAGACACAACAGCTTTCCACATTTGTGGACTTCTTTGGGTGGAGAGTTTTCTCATGACTGAGGAAATTGATGCATCCATCAAAAACTAAGCTGATGCTGACTAAGAGTTTTTTTCTCTTCCTGTTACATCCTCTGCAGCTCAAGAGGGAATTTCCTGCCCAGTTAAGATTTGGAGAACACACTCCACACTCTCAGCATATGGGTGAATGGGAAGGAGGCCCAGCACAAGGACTGGCACCTGCAGGGAAAGGGCAGATGTAGTGTGGGCCAAAAGCCACAGTAGCCACAGTCCCTGGGCCAGGCTGTCCCTGACTTCCCTGCCTGGCTGGTTCCTTCTCATCCCTGTGCCCTGCCCCAGGACAGCAACATACAGCTCAGCCCCAGGACTCACCTTCCCCTCACTAACAAGCTGGACTTTAAGGAAAAGGAGTCGATCTTCCACAAAACTCCCAATTAATTGGTGAGATCTGACAATACTCTCACTGCCAGACAAGACATGAAGCTGCAAGATAGAGGCATCTTTCCTTTCTTGTACTTCAGCAGCAACTGGGTTCAATATACATAGGGAACATGATCTTTCCCATGTCAAGGGTGTTCACAAGGTTTAGACAAAAGCACATTAATAATCAGTTTCCCTTTTCTGCACTTTTTTCAAGCTTGGACACCAAAACCAAGCACCATCTTTATTTCTTGTCTGTGGGCTGTTTTTGATGAGGGCTGGAGTTGGTGGCGTTTGCCCTTTGAAAGGTTTCACTGCTGTTCATAATACAAGCACAAATTGGTAAAATCTCTCTTTGGATTCAGTAGATGCATTTACACTGGCATAAAAGTCCTAAGCATCCTAAGGCTTTTTTCTGATTCTATGCTAAACTATTCAAGTGTAAACCATCTTGATGCTAATATAGCAAATAAAAGTTGAAAAAGTACATAAAACACAGTTATGCTACTAAAACTTTCCAAGTGTAGACAAAAGTAATCACATGCAACAACTAACAGCTTTGTGGAGCCCTCTAGACTCTGAACATTGTCATATATTGTGTCAACATAGGGCATTTCCAATTTAATTATCAGTTTCATACACACAAACACACCCTCTTGTGTTTGTACCTAGAAACTTGTGAAAGTACCTAGAGCATTGAAATCTTGTGCTCACTGCCAGCCATTTTCAATCCATGTTTGCCCTAGCCCACGGCTAGAGTACTTGTCTTGCACATATTCCAGGGGATATTTTATTCTTGTTCAAATGCTTACTGTCAGTGGGTTATTTTATTTATTATATTTGGTAACACAGTCATTTCTGTTGGCCTCAAGCATTTGTTGAACACAGGGGGTAAACCAAGCTTAGAAAGAGCCAGCTTGAGACTCCTCAGGAACTTCAATTTCTGACAGCGTCATACACTTTTGCTTACTACAAATTAGATACTTTTCAGAATGCTTTGAGCTGAAGCTACTTACAAACATCAGTATTATTGCTTTTTCCTTTCTCCAAACTAGTTATTTTTAAAAAAAGAGTCTTCAGGTAGTATAGGAGTGTGCTCAGCAGTGTACAAAAGAATGGAGCTCAATGGCAGAAAGAGAGTGCAATGGTGTATAAGCAGCAGAGCTGAAGGTGAGAAGCTAATTCTGTGTCCCCAGAATTCCTTTGGCTCTGCTATTGCATTCATGCTAAGACATCTGTAACTACTTTTCTGCTGCTATCATAATTTAAGTCTGCCCACTGCAGCTGGGAGCCGAGAGGGGAGTCCAAGCTGGTTGTATGGGCAGAGCACGGCAGCATGTCACACACTAAGCACACAGCACTAACCACAGCACTCCCTCAGTGCAGGAGACATGGGCCTCCTTCCCCAAGGGAACCTAATGCTTTCCTTCTCACCAGCCCAAAGAGCGTGGACAACCTGGCTCTGTCCGCACAGTAAACCACACCCTTTGATTTCCCAGAAAAAGAGGAATAGGTGCTGGGTGCACCCTGAGTGTCTGGAGTGTTTCAAGAAAATCAGATGCAGCCCACAAAAACTCTATCTCACTGCAGTAGGAAGCAAGGGGGGAGCAGTCAAATCCTCCCAGCCTGAGGAGAAAAGATGCCTTTTGGTAGATGACACAAATTTGGGAGCAATTAATAACACAAAAGCAATGTGGTGGGAAAAGGGGCCAATTAGACACGCTACCTTTAAATTGTGGCTGGTGCCAACCAGCAAACTCCAGTGACTGCTACAGCAAAAAGTGAATTCACCTTAGTTGATACTTGGCCTGAAGTGTGTGTTGCAGAGGCACAGGAGGAGTGGCACCTGCAGAGCATTGGGGCAACTGGACTGATCTCCCCTGACAGCTCCCCTCTCACTCACTTTCTCATGGCATTTGTAGCACCACTCTGTGTTCTCCTTGGGGCCACTGATCCTATGGACAGCTGAAGTCCATGGAATTAGGCCGGTTTAACCGGTGGAGCAGCACATTTTCTCCTGAGAGTGCTCATGTCAGCAGAAGTCTGAATGGGGGAGCAGTGCAAGGACTGGTGCTGTCTTAGCAAGCAGAGACCCCGTATAGGTTATGGGGTTGCTTGTTGTAGGGAACTTGTACTCCTTAAACGTAGCCTATGAGTAATTTCCCACACATTTCCCAAGACAACACTCCAGTGGGCTCAACCATGCCAGGGTATCCCAGAACACTTCATGGCTGGCTTGTGTATTTGGAGTTCATTCCAGTAGGGTGACACTGCAAATCTGCCCATGGGAGCTTGCACCCAGGACCTGGTGCGCCAGTCCTGAACTATCCTTCTCACCCCACTTACCCACTGCAGTGCCAGTGACAACCAAGGCAGTTATGCATTATGAACATATAACATGCAATTTAAATAGAGAACAGAAAAAAAAGCCTGAAAAGAAACAAACAAACAAACAAACAAACAAAAAAAAACCACACCAAAACCAAAAACAGCAAACCCACTCTACTCTTTTATTCTCTCTCTTCCCCACCCAAAACATTCCAGCCTTCCCTGCCACTAGAGAGGGGAGTTGTTTATTGATATTATGCAAGCACTGATTTTTTATTTTTTTTCCTTCTCGCCTGTCCTTTTTTTCCCTCTCTCCCCCTCTCTTCTCTGGGGGTTGCAAAGGTAGTTCAAACCCCTCCAGTCATCTCGGCTTATCAGCCACAGGAGATACATTCCTCTGGGCTGCTCCCTTTATAAGTCACTGCTGGCCGGGCGCCCGCCCGCCGCTCCGCAGCCTCCGCGCCGGCAGCGCTGCCCGTTCCGCGCTGCCCCCGCCATGCCCTAGCCCGGCCCGCCCGCCCGGGCTAGCGCAGCAGCTCGGGGAGGGTCGGCAGCGATGGCACCCCCGTGCCCGCGCCCCGCCCGCCCCTGAGGGTGGCTGCTGCCGCCGGGATGTTCAGCTGGCATCGGAGCTTCACCCTGGAAGCGCCCTGGAGAGGTGAGTCGGCCGCCCCGCCGGGGCCAGCCGGCGGCTGCCAGCACCTCCCCGGACCCGCGCCCCTTCCACCCCCTTCCTTCCCCTCAGTGGCCGTGCAGACGATCCTTAGGACAAGCCCATCCCGGCCCGCCCTGCTCCCGGGCCCCGGCGGACGGGCACGGCACCGCTGCCGCCCCGGCCCCATGCTGCGCTCCCTGCTCTCCGGCTGCCTCTGTCCCCTCGCAGGTAAGGCTGCCAGGGGCGCGTCCCCTCTCGCTTCGGCCGCCGGGCCCTCAGCCCCGGGGCCGGCGGCAACAAACACTGCGCTTAAGGAACCCGTTTCGCTTCCTCTTAAATGGGCTTGTTTCGCCTTGGTAAGCGCGGCAAAGCTCGGGAGAGAGGAGCAGGGGAGGTGGGAGCACTGTGGCACCGAGCGGTCCGAGCTGCCGCGGGACCGGCAGCCAGCGGAGCGGCTGCTCCCGGCACCGCGTGGGTCCGGGCACCACCGAGAGGCGGCTCGGGGCTGTCCTCCGCCCGGGCAATGGGCATCGGCTCGCTTTCTAGGCTAGTGCATCCCCAGCCAACAGGGATTGTCGCGGGTTCGAAGTGTTTTACTTGCTCCCTCCCGTGCAGATGAGGTGACCGTGGCAGGAAAGACAGCTATAGTCCTGCAGCTGGTCACCTGTAGCTTTTTTTTAAGCCTATTGTGCAAACAAATTATGTGGTCTCAGTATGCCTTTTAGAGGCATAATGGGGCCACTATATTAATTGTTATATATATACCTTAGCCAGAGTTGCAGACTTTGAGTTCACAAGCCCCATGTAGCAGAATTCTCTTAGCATCCCTGTTTTTACCCCTCAACTTGGCTTGTGGCAGCTGTAAACGAGATGGGCAGGTTCTGTCTCATTGGCATCACTGCACTGAGCTGGTTTGCTTGGCATGCAGGCAGGGTTTGTTGGAGTGTAAATATAGTGTGCAGTGAAACAGCAGGGCGGTAAAAACGTTGTAAACCCAAGTGTTTGGGGTGGTTATACCTCCTGGGGTCCTGGCTTTCCGTCCTTATGCCAAATTCCTGCCTCCTTGGAGTGCTGCAGCAATTGTTCCCATGGAGTCATCAGAGCCACCACATTCTTGGGCATCCACTCAGGTACTCTCTGCTTGAATTATGCTTCCCAGCTGTCCTGGTCTGGGGCAGCTACTTAGAACTCAGTGTGAGCTGGAGCCTCTGTGAGGTGCCCCAGCAGGTGCCTGTTAAGTGCTGTTGCCAGCAGGACCGCTGAAGCAGTTGCTCTGCCCGGGCTCAGTCTGGAATCTGCTACCCAGTGACACAAAGGGCTCTAGAGCAGTGCTGCTGTGAGAACATGCCAGCATCCCCCTAAGATGTGGAGGGTGTTTGAGGAGTGTTTTACAGTGTGGTGGAAACCGCTCCTTTTTGCCCTGAATGTAATTTGACCATAAACTTGTTTCTTCCATGATACATAGTGCAAACCTGCTGGCAGGGTTAGGAGGTGGAAGGAAGCTTGCTCTTCCATATGGAAGTGTCCCTCACTGCCCAGACACAGCAATATTGTTAATGAGGTTAATGAGGTAGGTGAAAGCTTTGGTGGGGGAGCAGTCATCCTACAGAGCACTGAGGGATCAAAAAGAAGCTCAGCTAGAATTTATCCAAATAAGAAGTGGCAATAGCACTCTCCAATCACCTCAGCTAGAAAAAGGCATCAAATATTATGTGTGTCCTGACTTGGATGCCATCTCTATTCAGAAATAGCATTCTTGGCTCTTGCCAACTATAAAAGATTTCAGACACGCCAGAATATGGTTACACCTGTCGAATGCTACCTTGTTTGAGCAGGAGCAGCTCTTCAGGGTTTTACTAAGGGACAGCAATGACTGATCATGAAGAATGGGTTAACAGTGACCTTTCTAATACAATTCTCGAGTTCCTTTGGCTTCAGTTGAAGCACTGGTGTCTAAATGGCCTTGGTCTTTGGGGCTATTGAACAGTTGTTTATCCAAGCTTATTATAGGCAATAAAACCTGAAATGCTACATACCTGTCATCCCTGGGGGGCACGTTCCATCCTTGCAAAGGGCCTCCTGGCTCCTAGTTAATTTCTGGCTGAATAATCCTCTGTGATATGAGGCAGCCTGCAGATGAGATGTACAAGGAAAAGATCTAAATTAGAAGTTTTTGCCAATGTGTGATATATTTGTTTCTATTGTTTTCAATTTCTGCTCAGACATATCACTGAGTTGTGTGCTTAATAATATTTTGCTGTTATACAGGGCTGCTCATGAAAACGCTGTTTCCTTTATTTAAGGTTTTGAACCTTTCTTTTGGAGGAACACATGGGAATTTCCAAGGAGAAGGATTTGCAGGTCTTTAGTGGCAGCTGTCATCTCCCTGACAAAAATCTCACAAATAAGCCCCGTAGGTGATTGTAGGGCCTGAACCTCTTCCCTCCCCCAGCCCCCAGGACAGGTTATACCACCGAGTAGGGAGAATTTGGGCACTGATCCTTGCACACCAAAATTATCCTTGGCAAGGGGTTTCCCACTGGTTCAGAGATACAAAGAAATAAGTTGCAGTGTAAATGCAGAAATGAGTGGGAACAGCGCTTTAGCTGGTGCTGTTGCGCAGGGTCAGGTGTTGATCCAAAATCTGGGGACTGCCAGCCTACACAAGTAACTGATAAACCAGGTGGTCTGAGGGGACCTGCTGTGCCCCGGGACTTTCTGCCAGAGGTCACTAATCTATCAGACCTGTCGTTTGGTTTCAAAAACTTCACAGGTCACTTGGAATGGATTAGGAGCAAGCTGTAAAAGTGTCAAGTGGCCTCTCTACTTGGAAATCCATTTCCTCTTTAGCTCACCCAACTATATCAGTCAGTAAACAATCAATCTCCCTCTCATTCCTCCTCAAATGCTTGAAAAGAGCTATAATTATCGCCTCTTTTCTAAAACATAGGTACTAAAGCAATGAATGTCTCCTCAAGTCAGAGTCCTTGAACCCTGTCATCTTTCTCTCGGCATCTACTTTATACGGATTTATCATTACCAAGCTGCAGCTATGGGGACCCATAACATTTCTGGAGACATTGTATTACCAAACTACAATCCTAAGGAACTTCACTTACTAACTTAACTAACATTGAGACTAGAGACCACCTTGGAGCCAAGTGATCTAAGTACTTTGTGCTTTTTGTTCAAGGACTATCTGAAATCTCAGCTTTATCATAACTACTCCTTTGAATGCAACATTTTTAGCAAATCAAATTGCATATGTATGTTCATGAAATCCACCTGCATTTCACTTCTCCAGCTGGATAAATTGAAGTTTAGAGAATCGGGTGCAAATAACAAGCACACTAAGTTAAATAAAACAACAAAACCCACGACCTTTCCTCTGACAGTGATTTTCAAGCCTTCACAAGTTTCTGCTGTTGTAGGTAGAAGTTGTAACTGGTGCACTGAAAACAAGAGACCCTGCGAGGAGCTTTCTGCATAAATTTTTCAGCTCACGATTATCCTCATAATTTAGAAGAAGCCTTGCTCAGACTGGGCAACCCAACTTCCAGCAGCACGCTCAGCATGCTGCTTGAAAAGCATTGGGGAAGGCAGATAGTTTGCAGACTTTTGGTGCCAAGTAGCGCCTCTGCCATTGCCAGGATTCGGATCAAGAGTCCAGTGAAGCACCAGGTAGTCGAGAGATCCCCACCCTGTGGAAATCCATGGCAAAGCTGTGTGGAGGTAGATTTTTCTCACAGAGGTTCAGCTGGTAGTGGTTACTCATTTATTGGGGTGGGGACATTTTTTGTTTGTTGGGTTAGATTGGAGTTTTTGGAAGCGTAAGAGTAATTGAATTTCTGTGAGCAGTGAGGTGCTGTCCGTGCCAAGCCTGCCGGAGCCCAGAGGCTGTGCTAGGGACAGCTCTTTGCCAGCCGGGGAGGTGACACGGCTCCCGCACTCACTGCGTGGAGGCTGCTGAGGAGGTGCCAGCCCCACCCTTCAGCGAGCACGGGGGAAAAGTCATCAGCAAAAAATGCCTATTGTTTCAGAAAGGAAGTGACCCCTTCCCTCTTAAATGCTGGGAAATTGAGACCTCATCATTGGTAAGAAAAAAACCCACCTCTTCGAAATGAAAGGGAAATACCACCTGAGCCGTTCTGCCAGCAGTGCTAGAGAATGTGGCACAGTGACAAAACTAAGGGAGTCTTTTTGTAAGGGAAGGAAGGAAGGAAAATTAAGGAATGCAAGGACTGAATGGGAGAGGCAGCCTTTCATTTCTAGGTCATGAGTTTGACTCCAGTGCACTAGTCACTGCTATCTAATGACTCAAAAGGTGACAATCATCTCTTATTCTGTTACTTGGAGGCCACAGCCCCATCACAGAACCAATCCTGCACGGCAGGGTTTAATCCTTGGCACAGCTGGAGCCAGGGAGGAGTTACTGGGCAGGCTGTGTCCTCTACAGGATGCTGAAAAACATTTTCGGGCACTTTGCACGTGCACCTTACTCCTGTATTTCAGGCTAAATAGATTAGTAGGAGTGCTGTGGTTTGGCATTGGTTTTCCTTTGCAGGGCAGCTGTGCAAAGTCCCTGCTACTCCAGCAATCCAAGTCAATGGTGTTGCCCTTTATTTTTGGTGGCGCAGTAAAGCTGGAAAGTACTGGCCTTATGAACTGCAGTGTGTAGGATGTTGCATGTCTTGTGGCATGCGTGGTACACAGTGGCAGGGAGAAGAATCGATTCTCTGAGTATCTCTGGGCTGTTCTCGCAAGCCTGCCAGCACCACCCACTGTGGATGGGCTCGCTGTGCTCATGGACCTTGCAGCAGTTCTAGAGACAAGCAGAAGGCTGCCCTGGCTCTAGCTCTGCTGTCCTTTTTAAGACAGTGGCAGATGAAGACAAGCAAAGCTTTGGCTCCAGTTGTGCCATGCTTAACAGAGATTCTCCCCATGCCAAGTAGCCTAAAAATCAGGATGAACATTTTGGGAAGACAGGTGGGCAGAGACTAGAAGGGAAGAGAGCAGCAGAGGGCAGAGCTGGTATGGTATGGCTCTCTACTGCCAGTAGCAGCACTCACTCCACTGCCAGCCTGGCCTCTTCCTGTCCACCAACGCTACTATTAGTTGCATACATCAGAAAAACATATGCTATGATACTCAAGTTAGTGCATCAGAGGCCACAGACCCTCTCAGGGATGAAGAAGAGTTTAACAGGTCTTGCACTGGAGGAATTACCAGTGAAACACAGCTTTGAGCCAGAGGCATAGGTGCAAAAAAGAAAAAAAAAAAACAAACCAGACATGGGTTTCAGCTTTGGAGCATAGGGATTTGGATATAGAATTTAGCTTGGTTTACTAGAAAGGTGGGAGCTTTTGCAGGAATTGGGCTTGAGCAAGACTGGAAATGCAGAGGACTTTTTCCTGGGCAGTTGTTTGAGTTCATCTTGTGCATCCAACTTACATGGGATAAAGAAATTGCTTGAAAATGATTTTATATTTAGGTATCTGCCCTCTTTCTCCTGGTCAGAGATCTCTGTACTAATACACCAGGCTGAGACCTGACAGCTGCTAGTTATTGTGCAACTGGAAAAATAACTTGGATTTAAAAGTCCCAACAAAGGGAAGCCTTGGGACAGGAGCTGATGGGAGGGTATTTACCTTTGAAAGATTTAAGTTTCTCTATTAGGCTATGCTAACTGCACCATAGAAATATCCTAGAAAGCAATCCAAACATGATGTAAAGTTCTAGAGACTTAGGTGGGACACATGATTCCTTTCACTCCCTACCAATTATCCTCAGGTATTAGGTAATTCGCTGTCACCACCTCCTTGTGAGTTGGGAAGCAGTCTGATTCTCCATCTTTACAAGCACAGGAAACCCAGCTTCCCAAGGCTACACATGATCACTTACCACCAGTTACAGGCATATATTTCAATCTAGAGAGCCTTCTATATATCTAGGGTGATTACAGAGCCATATAACTCTTTGAAAGGACTACTAGGGTGATTACAGAGCCATATAACTCTTTGAAAGGACTACTAGGCAAGTAGCACAAGCTACCCTGGGATAATGTTTGGCCTGGGCATACATGTTGAAGATGACTCAGGAGCCTGTACTGATTCTGAAGCATACACACAAAACTCCTTCCCTGGCTGCCACACCAGCATACCTGCCAGCTTCCTAAAAGCTACAGCATTTGCTATCTTACCCCCACCACAGGGCGGTGTGGAAAACCAGTCCAGGGGAAAAGAAACAAAAAACAAACAAACAACAAAACAAAAAAATTAAAAAAAAAAACTTGGCTAAATTCCCAGGAACAGCAGTGTCAAACCTGGCTGGCCTCCAGCACAAGTAAATACATCTTACTATTGTTAATGCCACCATTCAGCGCTCTGAAGTTCTTTACACCTCCTTTCAGAAGCCCCTGTGCAGGATTGTTTGCAACCATATCCCTGCAGCACACTCCCTCCAGTACCAGGCAGGAGTTATCTCTCTTCTTTGCTTTACTCAGGGGCCCTGGTATTGCTGAACAAAGCACTTACAGGCCAAGCCCTCAGCCAAAATTAGCTGACACAGTTCTGTTAAGGGCCCTGGAAATGAGTTAATTTATAGCAGCCCAGGGTCTGGGTCGATTCCCCCCCCCCACCCCCCACCAATTGCCCAGATGAGCTTTAATTGCACCATTCTGGTGTTTGTTAGCTTGAAAGAGCTAAGTGTTTTTGTATGCATCTTTTGAGATCTGTAGCAGGAACAATCTGCTTGTTGGAAGCCCCATGATTTAGATTCTATAATCCAGTTAAAAGAGAGGAAGTAGAGAGACTGTTTTGTCAGTGAGGTAGAGCAAGAATAGCTTGGAGTTTCAGGTCACTGCCTTAATCATTGGAGATCTTTCTGTTGTAGCACAGATGACCTCACTGACCACAGGAAAGTATTATTGAATGAATGAGGATGAGGTGCCTAAGTGTGTTGCAAAATCCTGTTATCCTTTGCCATTATTTTGATCCTGTGGTAGAGGGATGATAACATTTTGCCTTGTCACAGGTTGTTGGAAGAATAAATCAGAAATGCTCAAACACTGTGATTTGCAGGACCTGACAGTGCTGAGAGCAGTGGTTTGCAGCCTAAAAAAGATAAACAATTTTTGTGAAACATGTGGCTAGTGACCATAGTAAGGGGAGAGCAAAGAACTGTTGTTGGCATTAAGGTGGCCATCCCACAGAAGGTCAAAAATTTCATTTTATTTTCTATTTTTTCTACTCCAGCCAAACCTTCTTGTTCACATTGCAGCTTTTGTAATCCTAAAAGATATGCTGTAAAGGATCTAACATCTCCTTCTGTAAGTAGCAAGACCTCATTTTAATATGCTGCTTCCTGATTTTAGACAAAGCAATATTTGTGTAGGCCAGGGTGAAACCAGTTAAGCAAGAAAAAACAGGGGCAGATTGAAAGAAGTGAGAGAATCTCCAGTCAAAGGAAAGCATGGCATGATTAATAAGTGAGAAAAATCAATCTGTGGGAAAGAACTATCGTTGCATATAGTAATTCCAGGTAAGAGTGACAGCTGTATGTTTTGTTCTTAAAAGTAATTGCAGGAATGCAACTGCTCTCCTCTTGACTCTCCGTAGTTCTGTTGGCCAGCTGGGGTAGTGATGCTATCAGAAGAGCCTGTAAGCCTTTTCATGCAGATACGACGTTTTGTCTCTGGCTGCCAAGAAGTGCTTGCAGCTGAGCAGGTAGATCATCTTGACTTGAAATCAAAGTGACTCAGTTGCACCTCCTCCTTCCAAGACCTGGCACCCAGCTCACTCTTACAGCTGATGTTTTGCTGTACATGAAGCTACAAACCAGTCACCCTATTCCTTGTCCTCAGTTCAGGGGCCCTCATGCATATCCCAAAAGTGGAAGAATAACAACAGAGCCCAGCAGAGGCAGCTCCTGATGTGCTTTCCTGTAATGTATTTTCCTTTTCCCCCACCACAGCAACATCCTGGTGTTATATTGCTGAGGTCTGGCACTGACTGTCCCAAACATGGCTCTTTGCACTGGGAAGGTGCCTGTGAATCCTGCTAAGGGAGGCAGTGTAAATCTGTATATAATACACAAATCTTACATAAGGGTTATTAGCACTACATGCCACAAAAAGCCCATCAGATTATTTATCACTGGCTGCCCTTTATGAAAATCCAGAGTAAAATTAAATCAGTGGGTGTCTATGAACAGCAAAGGGCATGTTTCAGTGGTAGCCCGGGAAATTCTCAAGATCAAATGAAGGGAATTCAAATTAAGTAGAAAATGATCCATGTAAGAACTAGCTTGGCCTTAACGAGTAAGTCTCCCTTGTCTAAGTACATTGCAGGAAGCAAGCTGGAAGAGGTAAAGCTGTAAGATGTTTTTTTCTGAAATGAGGAGATTCCTGGGTTACCACAAACAAGAACTGCACAGCAGAGCTCTCCCTGATCCTCTGCTGGTGGGGTGGATCCCAGGCTTTCCTGCCTACTTAGGGACATTTCCATTACTGGGGCTGAATTTGTGAAGCTGCTGCTGGTCTGATTCAGGCAAAAAGAGAGAGGAGTGGGGAATGAAGTAGAAAGTAAGACATCCAGAAAAGTGTATGCATTGTAGCCCTCTCATGCACACTGGGTTGGGCAGTAAGGTAAAAGATACCAGAGAAACTGAAGTTTTGTTCTGCATCAATTCTTGGTTCCAAATCCACATACATATGCATTTGGAGCTGAGAATTGCAGGTTGCTGAAAGGTAGATGCAGAACTTTCACACTGGCTCTTACAGCATCGTAATACAGAAATTTCCACTATGAAATATTATATTCAGAAAAACAGTAAGAAAAACCTGGGAGTAGATCTTTGAGTCCTGAAGATCAGCCTTTCATCCAGAGACTGTTCTATCTATTCTATTCTATTACTGTGTAAAAGAATTGTGACTTGAAAACAATTCTTCTTTGTCCATGTGCAAAAGCTCTTGAACATGGTTGCCCCCATCTCTTTTGTCCTTACAAATAAGGTAGGAGTTCACTTAAAGATGTTACTTCATAGCTAAAACCATGTAGGGAATGAGAAAGATCTACAGTGCTTTTTACATTTGCTTTTCTTACCAGAACTTGATTTTTGTCACTTGTATGTGAGCAGAAAATACTGCAGAGAATAACAAAGAGTTTGCAAATTGCTTGCTGTAACCAAAAATTCACTTAAGCCTGTAGGAAGACTGATTTCATTTCACCCCTTTTTTGATGCTGGTTCAGAATGCATTTAATCAGAAAAAAAAATTGAGCCTTAAATTAATGTTTATCAGGCTAAAAGAACATGTACATCTCTCCATCTATATGCAGATAATTACAAAAAAGTCATCTGCCTACATGTGTTGTTTTCTACCTATCTATCAAATCAGAATTCTGCTTTTATGAGCCCCCCGGAGGTCTCTGAGGCTGTGAAACACAAGGCTTTTGTTGCAACAAAGCCTACAAGAAAGCTCCATATAGCTCAAGAAAAACAAATTAGGGTTGTCCCCCTCTACCGCCTTGGTGTAGGCAGTTTTACATTTCACATCCCTCAGGGGATGCGTTAGACACTGAGTTTTGTAGCCTCCTGTGACCTTCTACTTGTTTTCTTTTCAGCAGGTAAGAAGAGCCCACCGGCTGAGGACAAAGTCGTGTTAACACACATGAAGATACTGAGCAATGAAGGAATTCAAAACCCAGGGTTAATCCCAGAGGCTCCAGCTGACACAGCCTGCACACAAGAGTCCCAACTTCCCGGTGCCAGTCTCCCACCAGGCTGCCTGGCAAGTCCAGATGCAGCAGCCACAGCAGCAGGTCCAGACTATGTGGATGGCCCTGCAAGCACCGACTATGTAGCCACCCTGCCTGACCTCAGTGCCTTCGAGTCCAAGTGCCGGCTTCACAGACTCTCCAAATTTGAATCTGAGGACTCGGGGGTTGAGTTGCCAAGCGGTGCTAATTCTCCATCAACGCCGACGGGCTCAGAGAAGAGCTTTGTGCTTCACAGCAGAGACTCATTTTGTGACTCGGGTGTGCTTAGCACCTCTTCTTCTCCAGAAATTGACCATCAGTTAATGAGAACGTGTAAAGAACGTGCCAGAAAAGTTAGCGTCCAAGATCCAGAGAGCAAAAAGCAAACTGATTACTACAGCCAGGAGGCAGATGCTGTGCAGGATCCTACAGCTTCCCTTGAAGATTTCGATGTCCCCCAGGAAGAAAGTCCTGATGAACATTTTGACCAGGGTGACAAGCAGTCTCCAGAAAAGGAACCTACCCCAGAGATGGACCTTTCCAGGGAAAGCACTCTTTCTACCGCAGGTCCCATAGAAGAGCCAAATTCAGTTGCTGACAATTTCCCAGAGAATTTTGGCAGCGTGCAAGACCTTCAGATCCATGAACATCAGCTGAAGAAGTATCCCACAAGTGACAGCCTGGATGAATACATGGATGAATGCTGTAGGCTGAGTGAGGTGAGAAACACCTTAACTGAATCTTAAATCTAGGCCTGTCCAAACACCCCAGTCAGTGTTCAAGTCCTGTTTGTCACAAACTGGACACATCTGAGTGAGTGCAGAATATCTCCCTTGAAACTTGTAAACAGTAAAAAATGGTAATTGTTTTTTATGACTTCTTTTCATACCAGTAAAATTCTGAATTAATTCATAAATATCAGGTCTGGTAAGGATGACAAATGACTCATTGAGGTCTGGTGTTTCTAAAAGCCCTAGATGAAAGTATGGACATGATTCTGGTCTCAAAATGAAGATTATGAAGTTAGTCACCGTCCTCTGATACATGGGGAGGGGGTCAGAACATAGGTTTATTTTCAAGACCAAGTTATTCCTGTCTCTGGAAACAGCTGGCTTGCTTTTGGGGCACTGAAATTTGTAAAGAACTTGTCTAAGGGTTAATTAATTTCTGTCCAGGCCTGTTGTGTCCTGTTGAGTCAACTGCCTCAAATAATGCATGAGCAGGGAACTAATTAACAAATTCACATTTCTGTTGGGCTGGAGTTGGAGTTGTCATTTTAACTTGCCAGCGTACCTATGATGGACCAAACGGCAAAGACTTAATTTCAACAGGTTGTCCCCATCCATACTCCCTCTCTCTCCCCTCGCTGGGTACCCTGTGACATTGACAAGAGGATAAAAAGCCCTTCTGTGCACCTTCTCCCATGGCAGGTGCTGGTAAGCGCTTCCCCCAGTTCTCTGCCTGGAGCCTGGTGCTGCTGAAGTGCAGACAGATCGCTGCTTTGCCTGTACACTGCAATGGGGTCCAGGAGCCAGCAAAGCAAAGATCTCAGTCGGGAGGTGATCCTTGACAGAGACACAGACCAAAGGGCCCCATGAGCAAAGGGAAAGGAGAAAGACAGACTAGGTGAAGACGGTCACAAACACACAAAAGCGTCAAATGGTGCTTAGCAGGGATTTTTTTGGGGGGGGTGTTAATTGTGGTAATAATGATGAATTGGAATTGGATATGGGTGGGAGGAAGCCAAGTAACAAGTGATGTGTGCTGTGCAAATAATTTAACCCTGACCTTGCTGCCCTGAGCAATCAGACACTGGACTTTCTCTCCAGCATGCCAAACCCTCTTGAGCAGTGAGGGAGGTCAGAGATGTCCCATTTCTGTAAACATTGCATATCAAGGCAGTACAAGCAACACAACAATCCATCTGAGCAGTGTTTGCCTCCCCCAGAGCTATCTCACACATGGCAGATGTCTATTTTGCACAGATCCCAAACTGATGTGTCTATTTGGCAGAGTTCAAGACAGGATGAGAGCAGCAGAATCTGACCATAGGGAAACTTCATAAAAAGTTACCTAAATTCTCTGTTGCACTCTGGAGAGTTTGCAGCCAGATTTGGTCTTGTCTTACAACTCTGTATGCCTGTGAAATTCCTTTAAATCCTTGGTGAAATGGAGCCTCAGTTTCCCAAAGCAAAGCATTTAAATAAACAAGATAATAAATTAGAAAGAAGCTGAAGAGGAAATGAAGCTCTTGGTGGCTTATCTCCCCTCCTTTTTAATATCCTCACTGGCTGAGTGCTAAAGCTCTGTGCCCTAGAGCACTTTTCTTTGTTTTTTGAGCTGTGTAAATACAGCTGTGACCTAGATGCTGGGGAAGTTTGCCCCTCTTCACAGCACACCTCCAGGCTGCTGTATCTCAAGAGCAGCACTCATTAAACTGCTGGGATGCCAGGTAGCACCGAAGTCAACTGGGACAAGAAAGCAGCTGCTTTGTGTGCCTCAGAGCACCAGGACTGCCTCTAGCAGATGCAGAGCCTTCTGCCCTCACCAAACTTACACCTGACAGGCTGACCTGTCCTCACTGTCATACAACAGAGATCTGTTAAGAGGTGAGGTCCATGTGATCATCTGACCGTACAGCTGACAGATGTATCTTGGTTCATCCCATCTGAGGCTCTGCTCCAGGCTTTCTCTGTGGTTTTTCATTTGCCTGTAGCCTGTCCAAGACACAAATTGGTACCTAGAAAGCAATCTCTGCTATGGTCTGTTGTCTTCTGAGAGACTCAGATACCCCTGGAAATAAATCAGTGTTGTCTGAAAGAAAGCAGGCCATCACAGTGTATTCGCACCCTGCTTGGCAAGAACATGGCAAACCAAATTGCCCCATCAAATCAATTCCTGCTGCATTAAGTTAATGTTGATAGAAATGGAAGAGTGCTTACACTGGCTTATAATTAATGGTCAATGTGAGCATTATTTAATTATAGGTAACACCATCTTCCTCAGTTCTGCTGATGGTTTTGGGTACTTTAAAGTAACAGAAGAGCAGTTGAGTTTCCCCAGCCCAGCTGGCTGTGCCAACTGTGCTTACTGGCTCACCACAGCCAAACAAGGATTCAGTCTCTGGATGAAGTTGTTCCTTGATGCTCTCCTGACCATCCCTCACTGCTGTGGCCACTTCCAAGAGGACAGGAAGGAAAATGCTGAAAAAGAGAGACTGGAAATGACCAAATGTTTTGGCCATTTGGATTCAGTTGGTGAATGGCTTTGGCTGAAAATATACATCAAATCATTTCAGACCGGCATTTTTAGACAAAGCTTTCTGATCTTTTGTTTTGAACTGTCATTATTTTGAAATTTGCCTACATTTTGAAAGATGAAAGAAAATGGAAGCCGTCAAACAACAAGAGAAAGAACTTTGATGCCTAAATAAAAGCATTTCCTTTTAAGCTTGAAGTTTGAAGATACAGAGCTTTTGATGCTTTTGCCTTACAAACACTTCCTCGCACTCCATAAAGTTTACATTAACCATAGCCCAGCCCATATTCCTAGAAGAAGAAAAAGGATGGGAGCACTGTCATCATTAAATGAGAAAAAAAAAAAAAAAGTTACTCATACAGTGCTATTTATCCTGGGCTAAAGCAGTCAAAATGTTTCTCTACAGAGTGGTACAGTTCAGGGGAAAGTTAGAGCTACCTGTGATGGTCAGCCCCCTTAGTCTGTGCGTGCCGCTCAGAGGAAACCAGCTATCAGCAAGCACAGCCCCTCCTGGACAGCAGGGTGGAGCTGTCAGAAATACACAGCACGATCTCTCTCTTTCCTGTTATTCACAAGCCTTTTGGTGCTGTCAGCTTCCAGTGACAAATGCTTCCCACTCAGCCTGTGGCGTCACTAATTGGTTGCTCTGATCCCAGGATGGGAGGTTTGTAGTTACATTCCCTGTACGGTGGTGCAGTGACCATGCTGCCTGTACCAGCCACGCTCACATGGCAAGAGCATGCAGTGAGGGATGTATGGCAGGATGGAGCACAGAGCCCAAAACTACCACAAGGAAAGTGAAGAGCATTGTGTGAAGCACAGAAAACTAAGGCAATGCAAGATACATCAGTGAGCATTTGTCTGAACGAAGAAAAGCTTCCCCTGCAAACTGTCTGTCATCTTCAGCTCCTGCTGCCAGGTCCAGGACAGTTCTCCATTGAGCCCAGCTGTAGAAACGCACATCACATGCATCCAAGTGACAGATAATGGCTGAAATGAGGCTGGACAAAGTGCTGACCAGATGATCAGACATTTTGATTATACGCAAGTTGGAGAAGAGACTTGAAAGCAACTCTCATTATTGCAGATTCCTCTGAACTTCAAGTCTTCGTAGTGATCAGACACTGCAGTGAGCACAATGTTCCCCTGAGACAAGAGGACAAGCTCCCATCTCTGTGAGCTGGGTAGCCACAGAGGAAAAGATGTTGTTTACACCAGTCAAAATATTGACTAGAGGGCTCTAGATAAGCCAAAGTTCTCAGTGAAGATGCTGATCCTGTATTTTTAAGCTTCCTAAGAAATCTGTGGGCCAGGACAACTGTCATGGTTTATTGCCCGGGACACACATACTGAAAACCTGTGCCCAGAACTTAGTCAGGTGAGCACTGACAAGGGCAGAGATCCCTCTTTGGTTACACAGGTGTACAGTCAATGTAGTGCACCTTAACTCCTCAGGGTCAAAAAAGGATAATGTGAGTAACTCAGCACAGCATAGCTGGGAGCCTTTAACTCTATTTCTTCCAGATGAGGATCTGGCTTAGTCTTATACCTAAAAGCAAAATCTATCATGCATTTATACATTACATTCTTACTTTCCCAGAGAAGCTTTAACCATTTGATTCATAAATTGTGTCTTTATGGTCCTCCACATCTTCACCTTACAGAAAAGTAGGCAAGATATTTTTCCTTCTTCCTAGGCTTCATCATCTCAAAAATGGGCACACTGCTTTTGTTCCAACATTACTTGACAATTACCATGTCGAGAGTAGTACAAATTTCAATCATGAAGCTTCAGCTGGGAGGACAGAGAGAATGGAAGAGACATCCTGGAAAATGTTTGCAGTTTTCCTGTGGTTGCTGACTCTTCACTACTTGCATAAAACTGTATCACAGATGCTGAGAGGACAAGAGTTAGACCAGAACATGACAGACCAGAGTCTGTGCTGCATTTTACATCACCAGAAGATAGCTAGGGGTCTTTAGGTATTTCCAGTTTATGAAAAGAAAGTCTTTGAAGGATTCCTATAGAGACCCTCTCTGTGCTATTGTTTTGGATGCAACAGCTAAATTACACAAATATTCTCTATAGAACACCTGCCATATCTGAGCAATCCTAATGCTTACCAGCCCTGTGGCAGGTTGAAGCACACACCTAAAAGTTTTTACCATTGCATTCTGACCACCGAAGGGCCTGGCCCTGCAGAAATGAGCAAGCACTGGAGTGTCTACCTAATTTGTGCTTTCTGAGATCACTTCAATAAAATGCATTTTAATTTGCTATTAAATAGCCCAAACTGCCCTAAGCAGCCTCTGGAGGCTGGCTGTGTAACAGGGATCTTCAGCATGGTTGAGTCCAACCATCAGTCTGGTTTAGGTCCTCTACAGGGGTAGATCCACCTTGCCCCAACACCTGGAACAACTACTCTATACCTTTTCCCTCTCATTTTCTGGGCACCTGTATTTACTCTCAGGAGTTAGAGATTCTCTCTTACTTTTGCTAAAAGCTGTTTTTTTTTTCCATGCTCGTCCCCCACACACCTTTGCTTTCCAGTGCCTTTAGCCCCTAGACACAGAACACGGAAAACCAGGACCATCTTCTCTCCTCCCCCTGCCCATATTGCCCTACAAACCCAGCAGCCACAGACATGAAGCATCATGAAGGACTGTACAGCATCAAGCAGAGGACAAATATGGAGCAAAAAGAGGTCACAGTCAAATGCTCCATTCTTTTTCTCCAATCTAAGTTAGAGCCAAATATTTTACTTCATCCCATTCTCCAAGACTTCATCTGTCCTTTGTAGCCTCCCCTTGTGTTTTCACAGCTATAATGGGTTGGATTTGGCTCGGTGTCTCCTTAGGGCAATACAGGCATGCCAGCAGGCATGCAGTAGCATACTGGCAGGAAGGGGAGTTGCTAGATGTGCAAAAAGAGGGTGAAGTGTAGCAGAAAGCCTGTATTTTCAGGGATAATAAGGAACTTCTGACTATCCATTGGAATAGTGTATAAAAAAAGACTGTTCATTTTGGGACAGCTCAAAATGGCCAAATTTTCACAAGCTGATACCCATGTACTTTCTGAAAATTATACTTCTGAAGCTGGGCACCCCAAATCCCTAGCTGCTTTTAGATATGTTTATTATAGTGCTTTTGATTCAATCTTTTCCCACCAGATACCACAGAGGCTTTGTTCTCCCTTGGGGTCCTGTGGCTGTGCCCCTTCCCATTGCACAGCCACAGTAAATACTCAGTTTTATGGCTGAGTAACTTTTATCTAGCCACCGCTTCTTGCAGGCTCTGCCTGAGAGGAAAATAAAAGCCATGAAATGAATGACTGCTTGACTTGGAGTCAACAACCTCTGTCCCAACTTCAGACACAAAAGCATCTGGATTTAATAATACCTGTTTATAAATAACGTTGTATCATCATTTGTTTAAAAAGAAGTAAATCCTAATGTTGATTATTTTTGAACACACCATGAGCTTTCTGACATAATGAAAAGACAGGAAGAGTCCCAGGGTTGGCATTTCCCCAAAAATGTAGATTGTTGTGGGAAAGGAGACAGAGTAAGCTTCCTGCTTTTGTAGAGGGAACTTATTTTTTGAAGTAAGATAAACTTAGAGCATGGCTTTTGTAAAGATCGAGGCTTATTTTACTCACTGATATCACACACACATCAGCAGGCAGCGCCAAGGTGGAAGTGAGCCCCTGCATATGTTTGTTAGCAGCACGTTTGACACAGTCTGATCACGGCACAGGGGAGGACACTCCCTGTGCATGGGCAAGTCCTGGCACCAGAAATGGTGAGGTGCAGAGCAGGAGGCTGGGAAGCATCATTGCTTTTCTTCTGCCATAGGATTATTCTCTGTCTCCAGCACTGCCCTTGGCTGAGCAGCAGTGGGACTCTGGCAGGTCCTGGGTGAAGAGAAATCAGTGGTAGAGATTATACTTCCACAGCCAGACAGCAAAGTTGATCCTGCGAACTTTCTTCAGGTATCCCTTCAAGACTGAGAAAGTGGCAGCAGGGATGTTAGCTGAGATCTACTAAAGACTAGTGGAAAGAAGTTTTTTCACTTGGGCAGCTTGATTCAAGTACCTTTCTCTCACAGACACACCAGTGATGAGGGCCAGAGTACAAAAGTGCACCCCCAAGTTGGTCACAACTCAGCAAATCAATGCAACCTGCAGATATGTGCCTTTGGGTAGGAGCCAAGCCCAGCTTCAGTACACATTAGTGTGAGTTGCACTGAGGATTATGGGCTAAGTGAGCCACACTAGCCCCAGCTATTCACAGCATACAGTAGAACCATATTTGTTTGTAAGGCTTCTGTGGCCAGAAAAAGACAAATATTAGCCTGGGAGGTGGAACTAGAAACAAGCTGTCATGAGGTTTTCCTCTGCATCAGCCTGTGATCAGTCAGAAGAATCCCTCTGACAGTAGAAATTGCTGAGCAATCCAGAAAAGAGCTTCAGCAAGTAATGCTGTAGCACAAATCTGTGGCAAGACCAAAGCCCCTTGCAAGAGGAAGCCTGACTTTATCACAGGACACATAAGGAGTGTGCAGGGCTCTCAGCTGCTAGTAAGAATTGCTCTGTTACTCCATGGTCCAAGATGCATTATTGTTGCAGGTGAACCAAAGTAACAGCAAAGCCCTGGGATCTGGTCTGGGATACCTAGAACACATCTGCCAACTGATTGAGAAGATTGGGCAGCTTCAGGAGCACAACCTGCGTCTCCAAAAACAAGTGTGCAGCTTGCAGAAGGAGCAGAAGATGAGTCAGATAAAAGAGGTAAGCAGACACCACAGTATCTTCCATTGAGCACTAGAGTAACACAAATAAGAAACTCAAGGCCCAAACAGAAAGTCCTGTGTGCAGGAAGATGCCAGTTTTCCATATTCAACACCCACCTGGGCTGGGTACTGTGGTCTTCAGGGAGGCCTCACCCACCAAAATGGGTTTAGTTTCCTGAGGCTGGGCTTGAGTTTCTGTTCTTATTCAGTTTTGTTTCCCAAATGTGCTTGCTTCTGTTGAGTTAAAAAGCACCCTCCTCACCTCGTGCAATGGCCTGCTCTAAGTCAGTAACTTTCTTTTTACAGCTGTAAACTTCCTAAGAACACATCTCTCCTCAACACTTTCAAAACAAAATCCACAGAGCTCCTTAGCAATTGTGTTTTGAACTATAAGATCTTTCATTTCCTTCTTGTTTCAAACTGTCAAAATCACAGAATTTTTCACAGAACAGACACAAGGGGAAAGAGATCAGCAATACTATGACCCAGCTCCATGCTTTTTTTTCCCCTTCCTGTGCTCCTGAGCTGCCAGATTAAGAATCTCTGACATTAAACCATTTCAGTGTTCCCATTTGTCATTTTAATCAGACAGAGCTGAAAAATTTGAGTTAAATTTGCAAATAATGTCAGGGTCTTCCTAGCATTTCCATCAGTATTTTTTAATCCCTGTGTATTTTATTAAGCTCTACCCCACTTCTTCTTCAGTCATCACACGAGATTTCCATCTTTTTTCCTCCCTTGCCTTGTTGTTTATTTTAACACTCCCCAAAGGAACAGAAAGGGTTTATCACACTCAGCTATTTCTTCCCAGCTGTGCTGTGGTGAGTCTTTTATTCTCCTGATAGCGTCATTGTTCCCCTGGTGCTGCTCTCCCACCTGCTGGGACTGGATCTGCAGTAGGTGACTGACTCCTCCTCAGAGCCAAAGCCAAGTTCTGAGTCAGGTTGCAGAGCAGAGTAGCTTGTCATTTCCATGTACCCATCTCTCACACTCACAGGAATGCAGCCTCCTACATAGAGCCTGGGAATTACTAACACATTTCCTGAAGCTTTACAACTGTGAGTCATTGCTCAAAGTAACTCTTCCAAGCTGCAAACTCATCTGATATACGTGCCCCTTCTCCAGCTCCCACTGAAATGAAAGGCACTGTGCTTGCATTTAAATATTCGAAACTTTGATCTTTTTGGTACTTCTGAAGGTCTCTCAGCAGTGTCTTCTCAGATGCATTTGTCTCATACTGTTCAGTGGAGAATTGGATCGTTAGATATAACATTCAGTGCTTGCAGCGCAGTCTACAAAACTGGTTGCTCTCAGGTATCCTGTGGTGCCTGCATCTCCTGTATTTGAGCAGCTCTCCATTATTTTGTTCTTCAGTCATAGCCCCTCTGAATAGAAGAGGAACACTGCTACCCCATTTGCCATGAAACTGGAAGATTGCCATCCACAATTTGGAGAGCATCCAAAGACTCCTTTACAAACCATGTTCAGTCTCCATGCAGACTATGAGCATGGAAAGGTTTCCATGTCCCAGACATGGCTAGGGAAGACACAACTCCCAAAACGTGGGATTAGCATCATATTAAGCGCTGGTCATGAGGATTGTAGATAAGCAATGCTCGCAATGATGTTCTTGAGAGGTGCACATACATCACCACTGAAATGATGGCTTTGATCCTGGGACACAAATGGAACACTGCTGCTCCATGTCCTTTGCTTTACAGGGAAATCTATAGTACCATGGGCCAAAACCAGCATCATTCAGCAGATTTTCTAAGCATCTCCCAAAGGTATAGGTAAAGCAAAATGCCACACTGCTGTGACAACAGATCCAGATGAGAAGTGACATTGAAACTGTCAGTTGCTTGTGGGTCTCCAGAGGTGCTAAACTGGTGTTGGCCTGTCCTGGTTCCAGTAAACAGTCTGGTTCCCTTTCTGCTTCAGCTGGATAAAGCTCTCCTTCCTTCCCACCCTACTAAACTCTTCTGCAATGTGGTTGTGCAAAGTAGAAAATTTCCCCTTCTTCACCCCACCAGCAGAAGTAGACTGACTTTTAAGTACCACATACAGTCAATATGGCTGGTAACATGTAAGAAAACTGTGGCATCCCATCAATAAAAATACAAGATATTGTTGTCTGTGCATGCTCCAAAACAAATAACATCTTAAAATACGAGTCATTGTTATAACTGATCTGTTTATTTACACTAATGCCTTAGCTGAGCAGCTCTCTGTTTAGAAACTTGTATTCAGTTCCTTCTGAGAAACAAACTGAAAAGATACTGAGTATCAGGCAATTTAAGTTAAATGTTAATGAAGCCATGAAAGCTCTGTATTACCAGCTACAGGTTGTTCAGCCTTTTAGAGAATTAAGTAATTTGTCTGGGTTCTGGTGGGTCCCAGGACAAGGATGGACGTCCCTGGGCTGGAATGTTTACAATTAGATTTACAACTAATTGTAATTTACAACTACAATTAGGGTAGTGTTGCACCCCCTATTACCTTGGGCTGTTGCAGCCTGAGAGCCTACATACTTTCCTTTTGTCTGGTACAGGAATATCTTCTACAGCATTGCTCCTGTGGAGCTGCCAGTATCTTCCTTAACTCATATCAAGACATGAAAACAAATTTTGCTGGGAGGAGCAGACCTCACAGCCTCTTGGTTCAGACTGGAAACCCTTCTGATCTTTCCATCATCCCAGAAATAGGAGCAAACACTGAGAAGCTGAGCAGCTGCAATGGTGAGTTCAAATACCTCTAACCTGCTCTTCCATTTGCCACCACTTGGTCAAACAAGCTTACCAGCCACTTTCTTTTCCCTAGGAAAGACAGCTGGGAACAGGGCAAAGTTTTAATAGAACTGAACTCTAGCTGAAATCCAAGAGAAGCAATTTAAAACACACTGTGTATACCTAAGATTTTAACACTGGCTGCTTCATGCGTGTGAATTGGGTTTTTTTGCTTTCCAGCTGTGGCTGTAAAGATTAGGACAAATGAATTATAAAACAGGTCTTTTGGAAACTTATCATGCCTGAATGAGACTGTTAGCAGAGCTCCTCTCACCCAGGCATCTTTGATCTAAGATGGAAAGCCTTATGCCTGTCTTCTACCCTCTCAAGTAGGCACAGAACACATTCCTGGAGGATGACTTATTCTATAGACCAAGTGGAAATAAGCCCCAGCTGCAAAGCTTGGATCCAGAGACCAACTTTTCCAGAAGGCTGAGAAACACTGGGCTCAGCCTACTGATGATAAAACCAAATGAAAAGTCTGTTAGATGTGAACCAGCTCACTAAATGAGGCTGATTGGTTTATTTCAAACCTTGTATTTCAACTTGTTTCTAGTACCTGGTGAAACACAGAACAACTTATTGCAGGTTCTTATCCCATCTTTAAGTCCTTAGGGTCCATCTGAAGTCATAAATTGCTGCCAGCACTGCCCAGAGGCCATCCTAGCAGGATTTTCTGCTAAGAAATAAATCCTTGCATTTCATTGCAGGAAGTGAGAGATACCTGGAATCAGGAAAGAGCCAGCCAATGGTGGGGCTCAGGAAGTCATCAAACAATAGGAACAACAAGGAGAATGAGTTCAGAGAAGTTGGGACTGTGGCTGAGGGACAGGCTTTTCTGTCAAAGGATTCTGCAGTAAGAAAGGTGAGTGATAGACTTGGAACCTGAGTGGTACCTGTGGGAGAAGCAGAGAGAAGTTCTGCTCAGGCAGGTCAGAGCAAGGTGCCAGGAGTGCAAGTCAACCCTATCTGCTACTGAGTGGAGCTGGGCCAGCCAGGATCAGGGGGGTCTGTGTCCCTCTGTTGTCTGCTCCCAACCTTAAATGAAGAAGGACAATGTCTTTATGCCAAGAAAGGCACAAAGGGATCACTGGTGTAGGGGAGAGGAGCACTGTAGACAGCAGCATGGAGTTTAGTCCTCACCAACTCCAAATAACTTACTGTGTGGACTCTGTCCTAAGTATCTCCACTTCTGATGCTAGTGAGATTAAACCAAGCATTCATTAACACTAGTAAAAATTTTAGTGGGTCAATCCTTAGCTGGCCACATATACCAGACTGGCAGCATATCAATGTAATTAGCTCCAGTCCTCAAAGCATGTTCCAGGGAATGTGTTTCAGCAAATCTGTGTCACTGAAGTCCAAGAGAGCAAGAATGAACGCTTTCCACTCCCTTTCTTTCCCATTGTTTGTGTTTGCATCAGCACTTTCAGGTTCCGGTGGGGTTCAGAAGTGCTGAAATGCCAGAGCAGAGACTCTAATCAGAGTATTCCCAGCCTTGCAAACAGGAAAGAGGAAGGAGTAGGTCTCTCACGGGAAAGACCTCATGAAATTTCCACCCTTAAGTTGCAAATAGGTCACAAATATTTCAATGAACTTCAGAACCCAAATTAAGGCTGAAGCCTGAAAGGTGCTCCATGCTCTGTTGTGTGTCTAGCCAGCTTCTTGAGTATTTTAAGCATGTGGGAAGTTCTGATGACTTCACAGGACTGTAGAACCAAGGTCCATGCTCTTTAAACTGAATCCTCATCCTTTCTTATTACATCACACCTTAGTATTGTCACTTAGTATTGGATTTTGTATCCTGAACATGAAATGCGTGATTTATTCCTACAGTGCAGGTACTATGTGGGAATTTTGTCTGTTACACTCATCCCCAGGCTACGAGGTACTATAAACATGAACTGGCAGTTTAAATACAAAAGAGAAGGCAAGAGGTGGAAGGAGAAAGAAGGGATTATCACACATGTGAAGGACTGAGTCTAAAAAGAGATAAAGGACTCACCAAGGCTGTGGCTACATTCCAGGGCAGAGCTGAGAAGAGAGCCTAGTCTGTTGCAAATGCTAGGAGATGGTCTCACTGTCTTGGTCTTTAACAATGTGTTTGCCTTTTGTTTTCAGGCTCTGGACATCAGCAAGAACACCTCGGTATGTACTACCTTTGCAGAATATATTTAACTTGTGTCTACATATTCAGAGAGTACATGCACGTGGTGCACAGCATTGTATGAACCAAAGAGGTTTCCTCATCCCTGAGGTTTACTCTCATGGACAACAGAAGCATCAGCTGGCCTGGGCTTTCTGTGGTATCAGCAGTGCTGCTTGTCTGAGACAACACCAGCACAACGAGGGACTAACTGCTAAGGCCTCTAAACCCTTCCACAGTACACATTAATCAGAGTAGTAAACACAGAGGTTTGCTATTTCCATGAGTAAACAGTCTTGCTTACAGGCAATTAACCCAATAGCACTGAATCAGGTGTTGCAGTTCTCAGCTGAGCCATGACCTCATCTGAAGTTTGGAACTGAAAACTTTGCAGATTCCCAAGAAGAACTATTGCAATCGGCATTGCTGGGGCTAATAAGTGTGGCTGGGCAGGTGCCAGGTTATGTTCTCAAGGTGGCCACAACTCCTGTACTAATGGCTCTGCTGGTGGCACAGCAGCACCAGCGCACAGTGAGGAGGAACCTTGGGACAGGGCAGAACAATGGCAGGAATGTGAAAATAATTTGAGAAATTCACTGAAATGGAAATAATTTCTCACCATTATGCTAGTTTTGGGACATGATAATTTTTGTTCTGTTCCCCAGGTTTTCCAGTCATCACTTTAGGAAATTTAAAACTATATTTAAAAAAACCCAAACAAAACATTACATTTTTTACTCATAGCTCCATTTAGTTCACGGGTCCAGATGATCCCGACCTGGAGAGAAGAAAGATTAGAGATGGCCTCCTGAGACTCCTTGACCTCCTGATAATCTCTATTAGCATTTCAAATGTAAGGGCCCAATAGCTGTGGCTTGCTGACCAGGGAAACAAAGGCTTGATCTCTTCTAATTCATGATCCACAAAAGCTACCACCTTAAAATAGGCTGATACCAATGCACCTGGCCTAATAGAAAGGATAAGAGAGTGAAACTGCTTTTTTGGTTTTTGTTGTAAAGGCCCCCTGGTGCATGTGAGTAGGTAGGAAACCAAACCCATCTTCTCTTTTAACACAGAATGACAATAGGGTAAAACGTGCCCTTAGGCAGCTACTCAGCATTCACCAGTGAGGTGCCCTCACTCTCTGAAATCCTAAATCAGAAAGAACAGCAGAGTCCTAGGCAGAGAAATGCTACCAGACAAAATACAAAAAAGATGGTATTACTCAGAGTTCATCCATCCTGTCTCCTTGTGTCCTGTATAGGTGCAGGCTGGCCACTGGGCATCATTGTGGCGTTAAAAATTATTTTGTGGGCCCTGACCCCTATCTGTCTGAAATAAAGAAACTTCCCTCTTCCCACCACCCTGGAGTACCCCAAAATATCATATGTTGACCAGATGAATTCTGCCAGTAAATTGCCTTTTAAGTTGTGGTTTCTTTTTCCTCCCTAGGGTGAGAGCCATGCTTGGAGGAGAATGAGAGATCTTATGAGGAAGACACGATTGACAAACCAGAGCAAGCTGGGGCTGTCCTCTGCTGCTCTGAAGAGGTCCTGCCCACAGTTGTATAGGTGAGAGAACGCTGTGGGAGATTTTCATTTAGTGTTGGGAGGAGGTGGTAGAAGGTCTACCTCTCATTGTTGCTGCCTGGAGAAGACCACTCCTTACCTTATTTCCATTGCATATGCTGGTCCTGGCTAGCAGCAGCATTTGCTTCCTTAGTACCCAGATGCTCTAGGATCCCAGCTGGATGTTACCCGTGTGAGAATCATGGAAACATTAGGGTCTCTAAAATAAGGTACTTCTCCCCAGTAGGGCAAGAGGATGATGACAACTAGTCAGAACCATTCTATAGCCCAATTATTTGTCTTTCTGCTCCCTCTTAAGCATTGCAGTCTGCTTTTCCACCTTTCATCCAGTGGGACAGACCATATTGTACTTGATGTGTGCTGGGATGGGACAGTCAGGATCAGCTGGATGGTTTTTGTCAGAGGAAGAAGAGATGAAGTTTGCTGAATGTGTGCTCGTGGGTGGGACCTCTTCGTTGCTGTAGATTAATATTTGGGTCAAATATGAGGTCTTTCTATTTCTATTAAGTGATTCATGCTTCTCCCTTGGGCAAGTTTGTCTACCAAGCTGGTTGTAGCCTGGTCTCTGAGCTAAACTGTGTTGCGTGTGTCCATCTGACACTTCTGCCAGCTACCCCTTGCACAGATATTCCCTGTGCACTTGCCAAGTCCTCCCAGCTAGTCTGGTGAATTTGGAGTGTTTGTGTATGTAATCAGGTAACAGGAAGAGCCTGGGTATCTTAGTCACCAAAGCAGGAGCATTACGTGGAGCTGTGCACCTCCCTGTATGTTTTTTCAGCTGAGGTCTCAGTAACCTTCAGCGGAACAGCTTAAATGTGCTTAAGCCCTCCTCCCGTTTTAGAGGGGGTGATGGTGGGGAAACAGCAGTTATTTAAGCACTCAGGAATGTTCTATTGTTCCCCTTAAGACAGCCTGTACCTACCTTACAAAATGCATATGGGAACTGGGAATCTTATAATTACAGCTGGAAAAAAAACCCTCTGTAATACATGGAGTGACTTTTCCAGCTGGGAAAAGGTTGGTTGGGGCCCAAAGCACACGTAACAGGACAGCTTCCTCCTATTGTTTGGGAAACTGAAAGAAACACAAAGCAGAGGGAGATCAAACAGTTCCATCTAAAATAGATGGTGAACCAGCTGGGGAAAAAAATACAAACTCCTGTGAACCTTCCCTCTAAACCTGAATAGAACCAGCACTTTTATTTGGGTTTCAGAAAAGTTCTGTCTCTGTAATCTTCTGCTTGCCTCATCTCTGCAGCACAGAGGATAGCACCAGCACTCCTTGCATTAGAATTGAAGGCTAGGTCCTGAGCTGCCTTAATTGATGTATTTCCAATGAAGAGTCAGCCCAATAGCTACTAGCAGAAATTCTAGCTCCCTAGAAATTAGTCTCCTAGAATGGACAACTACTGCTATCATGGAAATGCTGTACAGTGGGATGCCAAATACACAGTTTTTTTGCCTGTCTGTATCCAGGCATCTTCAGAGCTCTTGTTCACTGATTGTTGCAGGCTGTTTTCAGTGGCTGATGAATGGCCTTTTCTTCCACTAATTTTCTTCTCCCATATATCTACATAAAACCCTTGCCTCTACTCATGCCCCTTATCTCCTTCCATTTCCTTTTCTCCTTCATTTAGTTCTTACTCCCCAGCCCAAACTGAATTTGGTCTTGCTCTTTTTACCCTGAACCCAGAAACAGCCATATTTCTGTTCTTTTCACTGGTGTGTGGAAAGGTTTGGCACCTTGTTTATGTGGCAGTTTGGATATGCAGTTGCCCTCAGGCTCCTATGAAGTAAAAAGTTAGGCTTAGTGGATCAATGACAGACCAGCAAATGCTGCTGGACAGAAAGACAGACCCTTCCTGTGGCAGTACCAGAATGATAAAGCAATAAAGTCTCATGCATCTGCAGTTTTTGGCAAAGCAAACCTTGAAGCCCTGACACTCTTAGCATTTAAAGCCACTGTCTTTGTTATAATTTATGAAACATGTTTGTCCTGGCTCCTGGTCCTGTTTGTACATGCACACATATGGAGTTGGCTGGCTTTTGCTTACCCGAGCTTTCTTGGGCTCCAGGTCTTGCACTGGAACAGGCTGGAGCCTGGTGCCCTGTATTAACATACAGTTCTGAAGGAGTCAGAGATCTGTTGCTTTTGACACCCAGTCCCACTTGAGTAATTTGGACAATTAGAGAAAGTCTCTTTGTTTTTGTTTTTGTAACTAGGTCAAAGCAAATCCCCTTTCATGCTCCTGCTCTGTGTATGATGAATGATCTGCTCCAGGGTGGTTATTTTGTTTTTCTTTTCTGTCTTTTTTTATTTATTTTTTTTTAACATCTACAAAAGAATTCTCATAGCAGAGACAACTTGGTTCTTCTAGCAGGGGAGAGGGGAGGCCTGCCAAGGTAAACATACTGGCACAAGACTCAGTGGTTTGTCATACATTGTTCTAAGCAGGCTCAGGTTTTCATTTCATTTTCTTTTTCCTGCTAATACGTTTGCTCCTGCAAAGCACCATCTATTCTGTGCAAAGAACCAGAACAGACGGATGGCTGACCTCATTATGGTGTTGTGAACTTAAGCAGCACATGGTCCTCCACTTTCCAGGGCAGGATCTAATGTAGGAAGCTTTGGGCAATCCCCTGACATTGCAGTGCAGATATACCCATCTGGGTATCTATGGGAGCTGTAAGTTTAATGCAGATGCATGGGCATGAGTTAACCTCATATACAGTATTTTTCATGGTAAAGATGATCATTTCAGTTTGAAGCCACCAAAAGCTTGCTGCCTTATGATGCCTACTTTGTGGTTAGTGTGAAGTAAGCTAGCAAGGACAGTGCAGTTCTAACATTACAAAACCCCATCTTCAATACTGTGCAGTAAAGGTTGAAAGGGGCCCAAGAACCTCAGACTCGGATCCAAATTATGTTCTTCACATAGAAGATTAATACTAAGGTGTTCTCAACCCTGTGCTCAAGGTTGAGAAACCATCTAAGAATTAAAGAACATTAAGACAGAAGATTGACCAGTCCATTGCAAAAGAACTAAGTGCAGAACAGAACATAAAAATGCACAAAACTTAGAAAAAAACCAAATAGTAGTTCATAAAATAGTCTACATCACATTAGTGAGGACTTTGAGTAGATTTTTCAAACTGAAGATTTGAAGTAAATAGCTATTAGCTATTTATTTTTTGTAAAGAACTTTCAAATATTGATTCAAAAAAACCAAACACCAAAAACCAAACAACAGTTTTTTTTTCTTAAACAGAACCTCTTTTAAAGATGTGTCTAGGAAGTGTTTCAAGGAAGGTTTGTCTCTCATAAGCTCTGGAGGCCTGAGCTGATTAAGTCATTTCAACTAAACAGAATGCATTATACTTGTTTCAAACATATGTAAGAAATAACTAACAAAAAATTAAGCTGGAGACAGTCCATAGCAGCTAGCTTAGTGTTGCTCTTCAAAGCACTTCATTTCTTACTTACTATTTTAGGCCAGAAATTTTAACTTCCCTGTGACATTCAGCCACAAGTCTATCCCCTGTCTCCCAGCTAGGCAGAAAATACTGGCTGCTCTGAACAAAAGGATGTTTGTGTCCATCCATTACAATGTGGCTCCCTGCCAAGTGCTGCATCTTGTGGCTCTCTTTTTGGATGTTGCCACAAATATTTGGATAGCATCTGTTATGGAATTTCAGACTGGAGAGGGGGAAGCTGTATTGAGTATAGCTTAGATGCATATGCACAGCATATTAAGAACACAGCCATGCATTCTGGACACTGTCAACTTCAGTTGTATTTTTCCATTTGTTAAGGCCAGATATTATGTCTTCAGAGCTGAGGAAAACTGAGAGGAACTCCATGATTGTTCTGGGACAAAATACAAAGAACGAAAACGTATGGCCTTTCTGATAATCTGAGTCAAATGGAGCAAGCTGAAGTAAGTAAACCAGCATGTGTTTCTTCGTGGGTTGGGGTTTTTCACCACTTCTCTGCACAAAAACGAGGCAGTCCTGTTCCTTCATCCAGACACATTCCAGCTTGCAAAGACAGAAACAGGTCCAATTTTTGAAGTTCAAATGATGTAGATTGATGCCTACTGAGGACTAGCCCATATATCTTCATTTTAATAGCTCCTCCTCAGCTTTTGGTTGGTTGCATTTTTTTTTTATTAACCCACAATTTAAAGGCAAATGTAGTCATACAGGCTACATTACACAGCCTTTTTACAAAACATAAAAGACACTAAATTAATTAATCTGCAGTCAGTCAAAAGACTTCCAAATAATAAGCCAATGAGGTGTCTTGGGAAAGAGACAATCTGTACATAATAAAGACTAAAAGAAAATCAGCCTCAGCTTCATCTTCCCAACTCAGCCCACAGGCTAAATACAGAGAAGCTCTATCTAATCTCATATTCACTGCCTGTTTCTGTTTCAGAAAGTCAAGGCAAGAATACCAAAGGATACAAAATCAAGAATCCCAGGGTTACTCTGCGCAATCTACATTCTACAATTGTCAACAGAGCAATTCTGAATTGAGTGTTGGAAGGGAAAGAGGGAAGGGGGATGTTGAGAAGGGTTTGTGGGCAGATACATGCTCAGCTATGTATGGCTTCGCTCCTAAATCTGAAGTGTACTTTAAAAAGTCAAGCCACAGATGAAAATTGCTGTTAGCATCTTGGCAACACAAGCAACAGGGACTTGTAACATTTGGAAATTCTTCCTCTTCTCTGGGCTGGGAACAGAATTACCTGAAACACTGAAGCCTTGAAACTACCATTACTTTCTGGAGACTTCTCCAACTGAAATAAATATTAGCTTCATGGCACATAGCATCATCTAGAGGAGTGCCAGAGACTCATTGCCCAGGGCAGATGTGGCTCTTGAAAGGACAGCCTCCTCCCTCTGGGGAACCTGAGTTGCAGTCTCTGTCCCCAGCACAGTTCTTCCCTTCAGACCAGCCTATGGCCAGGTGTGCCATTTCACTGAAATCCAACAGGAAAACAAAGTATGTAAAACTAGGGTCATTCCTGAATCCACTATTAGCGTCCCATCCTGTGGGCCTGCTCCTTCTGCAGAGGCCCCTGGACTCTGGTGCTACCCTGCACAGAAGTTGGCATTGTAGATTCTCATTGTAAACAATCTTTTTATTTTTCTAATTTTTTTTTCCTTTTTTTTTTTCTTTTCTTGTTTTGATGGGGGACAGGACACCAGGCTTGAATTCCTGCTTTTAAGTTCCATTGAAGTGCTCTGTCTGTGCAGGTGGGGGCCTGAGGCTGTAGGTGGGGCAGTACTTTACAGCTCCACCTTGCTCTCTCTATTGGGAAGAGTTGAGGAGAGCGAGGCTGCAAGGGAAAGTAATTCAAAGACATCCTTTATAAACAGGTGCTCTTTTGGGATACACTAACAACTGCGTAACACTATGACTGTGTGTAGTGGCTGCCTTATTGCCACATGTCCACTGCTTCCTGACTCAGGGAACAGGCAGTGCATGCTTCTGAAAGTCCCGTGATTGCAGAGGTCTCTGCACACTAGCTCCTATTGGTACTGGCAAAATAATTAATACACATGGAGTAAAGATTTAAGTGAACTAGCATTGCTTCATGATAAAGGATTGTTCTACCCCATAAATTATAATATAATTACATGTCAAGTAATTGCTGTTTAAAAATCCCTCCCTAATCCCAACTTGCCTGAGAACCAAGATTTGACAAGCTGGCAGGAATGATAAGTTTCAGCAAGCTTAGTCTTTCAATAACAGATGCTTTTCCCTTGCTCATCCACATCAGCTGGAGCCATTGGAGTCCTCCAAACCAGAGCAGGATCTTTTCTGGATTCAGAGCATCTCAGCCAGGCCATTCCCAGGCCAGTAGAGTTTGCAGGGATGAGTGAGGGCAGGGTTCAAGTATGCAGAAGGATTGCTACTGTTGTTACTTAGCATCTCAAAAAAAAACCCCACAAGCACAATCACCAAACCCCACAACCCAAACCCCCATAAAAAAGTGAAAAAAAGGCTGTGCTGACTGAAGGTTAGCACCCTAAAGTAGGTGCTGTGTTTAATTTTTCAGTTGTAGCTGCTGGTGCAGGACTTGCTTATTCACTCTATATCTTGCTAGCTTCATCCAAAGCTAGAAAGATTTATGACTTGATTATTCTGTGAATATTCCATATATCTCCATAAATACAGGGGGCAAAAATCCTGCATTCACTTACATCCTCCATTATCCCTCCAGCTTTTTTACAGACTATACATAATGTGAATCAGTGCAAACTGAATTTAAAGTGTTTTAAGACATAGCATCATGAACAGGTATTTTCTACAACCCTCTCTATTCATGGTATAAGCTTGTTGAATGTTTTGTGTTTGGGTTTTTTTTGTATTTTTTTAACTAAAACTAGCACTCTTCTTTATTATAGCATTATATTAAATATGTTCATGTATTTTTCAGAAATAAATGTATTTATAATGTATAATATACTGTATAGTTCTGCACTCCAGGATCCATTGTAATCCAAGCATAAGAAATTTAATAAAAGCATCACTATTATGATAATTGTTTTCAATATTTTATTAATGAACACCTGGCTTGTAATAAAGCAACTGCTACACCTTTAGGGTGTCAGGTGAGCACAGCTACTCAAGAAAGGAATTGTTACCTCCAAGCTTTTAAACAACATCTTTAACTTTGGCAAAGAAACAAGTTTGCTCTTTGGAAGCAGGTGCTGTTCTGAAGGTGTTAGAGGGTGAGGAGAGCCTTTTGAAAGTTCAGGTATGAAAAAACATATGCATTAATTGTGAGCAGCCTTTTATTAGGTGCTGTTGCTGGGCTTTGCTTCCACAGACAGGCAGCACACACAGCACTCCCAAAAAGAATCAGTGAAGGCAGTGGAGCAAAGTGCACTGATGCTCAGCACTGGGGTTTCTTTCTGACAATCTGGGTTCAGTAGCAGTACTACACAACAGCCTCAAATGACAGATCTTAACTGGCCTCAGCCTTGATTCCCAGCCAGCAGCACCCTCCTGGACAGAGCAGCTTCCTTTCCCCTGCCGGTGTCTAAGCCACCGTGTACCACACTGCCCAACAGCTTTAACTGAACTCTATAGCTATAATTGTATAACTGTTCAGCTTTAACTGAACTGCATAACCAGGTGACACAGAGTGAAACTAAAGAGGGTGCTGACACAAGAAGCAACACACAGGTAATCAAAAGAAAGTAATGGTGAAAAGTCAATGAGACTCAGCTAAAGAGAGGCCTCAAAAAAAAGTAAGCCAGAAGTGTGTCTGTGAAGGGAGAAGGGAAAGAATACACTTTTTGCAGAAGCAAATATTGACAAACAGGAGCCATGAGAACCACTAAACACCCCAGCAGTGTTGGAGAACAGGCAGTGAACACAGGGCCCATGCAACAGAGGAGGAAACCTGAAGTTTGCCTTTCACGCTGTACCAGTGCTTCACAAGAACAACTCATCTCACTGCTGCTCACAGCCTTCCTGCCAGATGAGGACCAAATAGCAAGCCTTAAACACATAAGACTCGCCAGAGTGGAGCAGGGAATTAAATTTATTTCTTTGCTCACCCACCTCCACTTAGCACTGCATGTACCCTACACATAGCAGCCTCCTACACACAGCTCTGCAGCAAAAGGGATAGTCCCTGCAGGGGAATCCATGCAATTCCCATAGGATACACACCCAGAGCTCCCTACCACTTTGGGATGGCTCAGGAACTCAACAAAGGGCAGCAGGGACTTGACTCTCACAGCCCCTTCATCATCCACATAGTCATCTAAGCTCTACAAATATTTCTGTCTCTCTTACTGAGGCACAGGAAGGGTCCAGTAGCAGACAGGAGGTCTTTAGATCTTAGCTCACACACACAATTAAGACCAGTGCCAGAGCACCGAGAAGGTGTGGTTTATATTACTCTTCTAATTGCCCAGTTTATTAACATTACAGACTGCTACTAAAGACTTGTCATGAGGCACATTATGAATTTATACTCAGCTTTCCCAGACAGAGCCCCACCTGGACCAAGGTAATTTACTTGCCAGAGGCCTGCTCCAGAAGAGGAGGCTGTTTGACCTATCTTCAGATGATAGTTTTTTCCAGCCTGTGATCTCCATCTCCCTCCCACCTTACAACTTGGTTGTCTTTTCTTCTGGTTAGATTTTGAAAGTGTGCAAGGCAAAGATCACTGGTTATCCTCACAGTAGCAGGGAAAAGTATTTCTACTAGAAAAATAAAAATACAAGATTACTCCTGAAGTTTCTTGGAATAGGAAAGGAATTAAAATGCAGATCCCACCACTCATTAATACCCTCCAATCACATAGTAGCAACAGAACCTAATTAAAAAGAACAACATCTGCTGCCTCAAGCAAGCTACTGATCAGTTTTTTGCTTCCATGTGCAAGTGCTACTCTTCCCTTTTGAAGGCCCCAAAGCAATACAATTAAGACTTCTGTCCTGCCCTTAACAGGAAGAACTTCTAATCAAGCCTTAGAGGAAAATAGGGAAAAGCATTTTTCCATCCCCTCAAGGACTACCCCATCAGCTGTAAGCAGCTCTCAGTGTAAGTGCAAGCACCAGGGCTCCCCCCAGGCTGGGCAGAAAGAAGGGGGTGGAATCTTATTTCCCCTCTACTCTCTGGAGAGTTTTGCTGCACTGTTTTCACCCAGGACCTCAGAAAGCAAAGAGGGATGCTGCCCAGATGCTGGGACTGACAACACCATGCTGAGCTGCTCCTGATGCTCAAAATGGCAAGTTATATTTCTCATCTAAAAGAAATAAGTTAAAAAATTAAGAAAAGCACTTTTATGCCAAGAGTGATGTCAAATTAGCTTTAATCCAAGACCTATGAACACTCCTAACAGCCTGCTGTCACATGAAGCCTTAAAATTAAGCTCTAAAGTTTGACTTTTTTTTTTCTCCTGGAGTTCAAACCATCTAGGCCCTTTTATTTTTTTCCCCACTTGGAATGATGTTTCCATGTTCTCATTCACCAGAAAAATGCCACCTATCCTTTTCTGTTTCTAGGGCAAGAAAGGCAGGTTCACGCACAGCATCATTAGGAAGGCCCATTTGTGTAGTGCTTTGGCATCCTTGCTTTCCAGTCCTGCCATATGAACACAGCTCTAACTTACCCAATGACTTGGGGACAAGTGGGCAATTCCCAGCTCCTTGGCACAGTCAAAACAACTGCTCTGCATCCCCAGAGAAGTAGCTGCAGGATCTGCTTTTAGTGAGTTTTGCTGCACTTCTGCTCAGTGTTTGAATGGAGCCTAGGTTATATTCATTAACAGAAATGCAAACACCACCCAGCATCAAACCTGCTTCAGTCTGCAGCCCAGGCCTTGACAAGGTCTCCAGCTTGTCCAAGGCAGACAGATAACACCAAAGCCAGAGCAGAAGAATTCCAGAGTGAGATGAATTCAGAGCATTTGGAAGGCTTTCAAAGACTTCTGTAAAGAAGACTGGGGTAATTTCTGCTCATAAAGTCTTACAGCTAGAGTCTCCAGGGGAAGGGGTACCACCAAATAAATGGGTTTGACAGTCACTTTATTGCAATCTGTTGATTTCATGTGTTGCTGACGCCTTCCTTTGCCACAGCACAGAAACCACAAGCACCACAAACAGAGCTGTCCCAGTTGCCACAGCAGCAAATCCCAGAGCCCAGGGGGCTGCAGTCTGCACCCTCGCTCCTGTGGGGAGAGACACTCCAGTTAATGCTCCCAGTGAGGCACAGGGATGCCTTAGGGGCTCAGCCTTTCTGTAGAAAAGCCTTAGACCAGCCCCCTTCCCCTGCTCTGCTGCCACACTTACCGAGGCCATCCTTGGCTGTGTCCTGTCTTAGCTCATCCTGAAGGAAAATCACAGGGCCTTTGCCAGAGACGTGGGAAGTGCCTTCCTGAAAAGGATGCTCAGCACTCCTTTTACCCCCTACACAGCAAGGTGAAGGTTGTAGGTAAGAAGAGGTGTAGCCCTGAAGGTCACCAAACTTTTTCCAGGTCAGCTTTCTCAACACACAGGAAGCTCTGAAGGCCACAGTTTCCACGTGAGCCCACATAGACCTTAGCCGTGAAGACCTCTGTCTTTTTGGCATAAGAAGAGCCCTTAGTCAGTGGAAAAGAGCAGGAAATGCTTTGTCAAGCTGTCCATGCTTCAAGGGAATTACTCCATAGGATACACGTCTCCTACTCCCCAGCTTGGAGACTAGGCCCTTGCTGCCCCTTTGGAAGGGAAGGAGAAGGCCAGGACACTTACTGACGCTGGAAGGACAAGTGGTGACACAGGACTCCTTTACAGACTGGTGGCACACCAAAGCACTGCAGTGCAGGTACACCTAGAGAAAAATGGAACACAGCCTGAAATCCCTCAGGCAGTGTCTGGAGACTGGTGATAGCCTAGTGTGGTGCTTTGACCCCAGCCAACAGCTGAGCAGCCATGCTGCCTCTTATTCATTCCCCCTCCTCTGCCCCAGCAGGGCAGAGAAAGAATAGGAAGAGCAAAAAGCACAAAAACCTGTAGCTGGAGCAATAAAGACAGTTAAATAAGTGAAGGACAGGAGGAGACGGAAGAAAAAACCCTAAAGCACAAGTGATGTAAAGGCAAGTCACCTTCCCTGCTCCTACAGGCAGACCAGTGCTCAGGCAGTTAGAGCAGCAGCTACACTGGAAGATTAAATCCCCCAATGCTTACTACTGAGCATAAAATCGTGCAGCATGGAGTATTCCTTCAGTCATTTTGAGTCACCTCTGCTGCCTCCCAGCTTCTAGCCTATCCCATGCCTACTCACTTGGGGTTGAGAGACAGTAGAATGAAGAGAAAGAAAGCATTGGTGTTCTTCAAGTGCTATTCAGCAAACAGCAAGAACATCTGTTTTCAACACTGTTTTAGCGACAAATCCAAAACCACAGCACCAAACGGGCTGCTATGTGGAAGAGTTAGCTCCATACCAGCGCACCTGGACCTTCAGGGGGAAAGCAGGAAAGTCTGTCGGGCTGGTTTCACATCCAGGCTGTAGCCTTGGAGCCCTCTGCTGTCCACTTCGGAACCCTTACACCGTACACTTTCAAACTCGGTCAAATCCAGTTTTACAGCACTTCTCCCTGACTCCTGGAATGCTGCTGCCGGAGCACCACTTCACTGTGAACTTTGTTAAGTACAGCTGAGACAAATTTTGAGTATTAGTTGAGCCTAGGAACACTGCGCAAACAGTACAAGGCAGGGTGAATTTCATGTGACAACTGGAGGAGCTCAATATGATTCAGAGCCCAGATGCTTCAAAAGGTACACCAAGTTGTTTCCAAGTGATTTTGGCCAAGAAATTTAGTTTAGAGAACATCGATTAGCATAGCTAGAACACACACCCTAATCTAATTAACCAGACAAGCTAGCACTTGCTTAAGTAAACTACTACCATTCTAGTAGTCACATCTTTTGTCACACCCCTCCAGTGATGTCTCTTACCTCTACCACATTCACTTCAGGGAATAAGGTTTTTTGCATCAACCTCTCCCCTTCTTTTTCAGCAGGGGATTTTACTAGTCTTCGT